CGAGGGAGGTGGTCGACATGGGCGCCAGCTCCGTGCCGCCCTGCGCGAGGAACTCGAGCGGCGCACGCACGTCCTTCATGCCGCGGTAGAGGTGCAGCTCGCGCGGCGAGACGCGCGGCGAGGCGAAGCCGCCCTTGTCGGCGCCGCCGTCCTTCGAGCCTTGGTTGGCTTCGACCGCTCTGAGCTTGCCCAGCGCGTCGCGGAGCAGCGCCACCGTGACGGGAAGCTTGTGCGGCAGCTTGTTTTCGTAGCGGTCGCGGTCGCGGAGCGGGTCGTTGATCGAGCGGAAGGCCGCCGTGGTGTAGAGCCGCAGAGCAACCACGTGGGCCTTCGTCAGCAGCGACTGCCGTGCGCTCGAGTGCGCCACAAAGTCGTCGATCGTCATGCCGCGTTGGCCGCCCTTGCCATCCGGCACCAGGCGGCAGGCCAGCACCTCGCCCTCCTCGTCGCAGTCGCGCCTCAGCCCACCCTGGAAAGCGCGGTCACTCGAGCCCGCCTCCGCGTCCAGCACGTACCGCAGGCACTCGAGGTCGCAAGCGTTGCCCGAGGCCGTCACTTCATCGACGATGGCGCTGACGCCGCAGGCGATGCGCGCCCCGAGGGTGCTCTCGTCGACGCACATGTAGTGGCAGATGCCGAGCGCCGCTTCGGCGGGGCGGCCAAAGACCAGGTCGCGGACGCCGACGTTGGCGAAGCGGTTGAAGGCGTCCCCCGATGCGGTGCCGTCGGCCAGGTCCACGCACGCCAAGTCGCTCGCCCGGTCCGCCCACAGAAGGCGGGACTCGGCGCGCATGCGTCTCGCGAGCTCGCTGACCGTGGGCTCCAGCACGCATATCTGCGCTAGGTCGGCAGCGCTGAGCCGGTCCTCTCTCTTGCCGATGCCCTGGTGCCGTCCAAGCCGCTTCAGCCGTTTCAGCAAGCCGGCTCCAGCGACCGCACCAAAGATGCAAATGGAGCCCAAGCCAGCAGCGATTGACCAGACGAAGCCCGAGTACGCCGGAGTCGGGGCGATGCCTTGCCTGCAGGCACCCCGATCGACTCCGCAGCACGGGTCCGACGCCGGGTCGCAGACGGACACGCTGATCGCCGGCGGGCCGGATGCGAGGCCAGGCGCCCCGAGAAAGTCGGAGGCGGCTTCTGCGGAGCCCGTCTGCTCCTCGATCTTTTGGACCACCTCCTCGCCAATCAGCCCCGTGGGAACAGATATGATGAAGACGAAGCGAAGGCTCGCGGCCGTGAGGCGCCTCCGACCAGGGACTGCGGCTGCCCGGCTGTCAGTGCTGCATGCCGGCAAGGGCGGCCATGGCGCTTCATACGCTTCGGGCGGGAACTCGAGGACCGCGCGACAAGAGCCAGCAGCGAGGCTGTTCTCGACCTCGATCTCGCGGCAAGTCTGTGCTCCCACCTCGGCCAGGTCTGCGATGAAGGTCACTCGCTCCTCCTCGCACCGCTGGTAAAAGTCGTCGAGGGTCTCGGTGAGAGGAAAGGAGACGTTGACCGTTGCCGGGAGGGCCGCGGGAAGACTGGGCGGCTCCGATGGCGGAAAGGGCGGTGGCCGCGGGGGCGGGCTCGGTGGCGGTGGCGAGGACGGCGGCGAAGGAGGGGATGGCGGTGACGGTGGCGGGGAGGGGCAGTCAACGCAGGTCGTCGTCGTGTCGCCGTAGGAGAACTCGCCGCACCAGCCCAAGGCCTGCAAGGCCCTGAGCCGTACTGGAGCCCAAAACATTGGTTGGCACTTGCCGCTGCAAATCTGCCGGTTGATGGAGGGAGCCTCGTACCTCGAGGTCGTCGAGTTCCACGAGTAAACGTCGTCAGCGCAGGCGTCGGAGGTCAGCGAGGAGGTCACGCACTGGCACCGAGGCGGCGATGGCGACCGAGGCGGCGATGGCGGTGGGGAGGGCAGAGAGGGTGGCATGATGCACGTGCCGCACTCCTCGCACACCTGCGCCGCTGTGAGATTTTCGTGGACGTCGTCAGCGCACCAATTAAAGTTTGACCCCTCCGAGTATTTGTACTCGCCCTCTAGCGCTGCATAGGTCGTGCAGTTGCCGTAGCCAGCATCCCAAGTCAAGGTATTCCCCAAGCATGGTGGCGGCGGCGGCTGCAGGGGAGGTTGCTGCGCGAGCGGGACGGAGGCGAGGGAAAGCATGGGACGACCAGCGCGAGCGGAACGGAGGCGAGGTGAAGCACCTGTGCAAGGGAGGTTTCAATCGAGGCTGCAATCGAGGCGTTTTGTGTCACGGTCGTCCCAACCTTCATCCTTTTCGGAAGGGGACATATGTTGAGGACGGCACGCCGCCACCACGCAGGAATTTTTACTGCGCGTCAACTCCTCCGGCGGGGGATATCACATGCACAGCGTAGGTTAAGCATATCGTGTAACGTGTCCTTTCTCCCGCCTCCCGGGCGGAAGGTGCCCGGCGCGGGAAAACATTAAACAAACGCGAAACGGCTCTAGAGACTAGACACCACGCGCCCCCAAAATGCAGGTCGACTCGGTGCTCGTGCACACGCACTCGGTGCTGGGCGCCTCGCAGTAGATGCACCGCCGCTGCCGCTCCGCCTGGCGGCGCGAGTCTCGTGCGCCGGCCGCGTAGGTGATCAGCCCGGCGACGACGGTGGCGACGCCGATCGCCTTTGGCCACGAGAAGCACTGCGACGCCTGGTAGCGGCAGAAGAAGAGGACCGAGAAGGCGAAGACGAGGACGAGCTGCACGCCCTTCATCACCGCCGAAGAGACGGCGCCTAAAGAGAGGGGCTCCTCGCGGGCTGCTGGAAGGCTCCTCTGCAGCAGCCCTTTCGTCACCGACGAGCGCGCCGATCCGGTCGAGCAGCTCGAAGAAGACGAGCGCGTGCCTACGGCGGAGCAAAGCGCGGGCGAGTCAGACCCGTCTCGTCCAAAGCACCGAGCGGCCCAGGGCGGACAGGAGGAGGAGGAGGAAAGCGCGCATCGCGTTGACGAGCGTCAGGCCGGCGTAGAGCAGCGCCACGGTGCCGGTCTCGACCTCGCCATCGTGCGGCGCGTAGAGCTGCGGCCCGTGCCGCGAGAGCAGCGCGCCTGTGTTGGAGAGGTCCCGAGAAGGCTCACGGAAGGCTCATCCAAGAGGCTTGTGCCGCGGAGAGAGACTGCGCCGTTCCACGCGGCGAGTGCAGCCGTCTCGGCCGCCCCCATCCCCGACGAGAGCAGGAAGGGGTGGAGCCCGCCCAGCCGCATCGCGCGCTCCGAAAAGACAAACATCCCTTCGATAACAAACATCGGGATAGAGGAACCCGGTGGGGACCGACGCGAGAAAGAGTGAGAAGATGCCAGCGTGGAGCGCCGTGCCGCCCACGAGCGCCGCGCATCCGACGGCGAGCCAGCCCGCCTCCGCCGTCGGCGCCTCGCTGTACGCGCCGCGCGCGGAGAGGAGCGTGCCGGCGCTCACGAGGAGCACGCCCGCCAGCCGGACCGGCTCGAGCCTCTGGCCTGTGAGGGCATGGACGCGTGGTGGCGGGCGGCTCGTCCCCAGCAGCCGGCTCAAGCTCGGGCGGTCTGGCCGGCGCAGCGCGCGAGCAGCGCCGTCCACACCGTCGTCGAGGAGTAGATGACGACGTAGACGCCGGAGCCGACGATGAGGAGGCCGGTGGTGAGGAGGCAGCCCGAGCCGAAGTCGATGGCGGTGGCCATGCCGAGCCACCACCACGTCGACGACGGCCGCTCTGTCGCCCTCAAAAAGAGTGCGCGCTCTGAGCCGCACAGCCGCAGTCCGACCAGCGCCATGCCCGCCGTGTTGGACATCATCGAGAGCAGCGTGGGCGGCCAGCCGACGTGCCCTGCTCCGCCCTGGTACCGGATGCTGTCGGTGAGCAGAGGCTGGAGCAATCCGGTGCCGACGTACACCACCACCGTGAGCCAGAGAGGGAGGGCAGCGCTTTCGCCGGATGAGAGCGACATGTGTGCATTTGTTCGGTGTCGG